AACTTTGATAAGTTTTTAAAATTACCTACTTGTCGTAAGGCCGTAATATTTCAGTAATTTCTAAAGACCATGATATATCGCCAAAAAAATTTCTATAAAAATCGGCTTAATTTTATCGGCTCGATAGATTTTCACCTAAACTGATCAGTATCATAAATTGATTTATTTTTTATTGATTAAGTCGTTTATTCACACATAACGGGCGTTCGTGTAACTTGCCTCAAAGCCAAATACCAATACCAACTAGTTTAAATTATGTTTAATTTTTGAAAAATCAAAAAACACCAATTATCTCTTACAATGCTTGACACAGTCTAAAAACATGTGAATATTTACAGAAATATTTGAAAACAAATCTTAAGTGTCGAAGATGAAGGGACAAGGATGGATATTTGATCGCAAACTAAAATCAACAAATGTGAAAACAGATTACTTTATCGAAGAAATTAGATAATGAATTAAAATAGTATAATCTTCTATTTATAAAATTATGTATTTTCGCATCCGTGTAAAGGAACTCTGATTAAATTACCTGACTGCGTAATATGCAAGCATGTGCACAAGATCAAGTGCATATGACTAATTAGCAATTACCTTTACATATTTCATGACAAATTATTTATTACTCAATTAATATGAGTTTATTTCGAAACTGTATCCAGTTTTTATTACATTTCAGTTCATAAATCAAAGGCATTGTAAATATAATTGTTTTTTATTCTGGTGTTTTATTCTTCATGCCGACTGATTTATAGGTGGGCGTTGTCCGTAGATCTCGTAATAAACTTTATTACGATATATAGTGATAGAATTTGATATAAATATTTATATGGTTTATTGAAATATGATCAGTGGATTTCATTTTATTGGAAAGTTTATTGCTTTCTTTTAGATGATACTTTATATCATAATAAAATATTAATTGAAATTTATTTTCAATTTCTGACCAGCTTGTTAAGTGTTCTATAGAGAGAGAGATTGAAGTTTATATTTTTTCTATTTTGAAGTAAAACTTCCTTAGGTGCGGCTAGGGAGTGAATCTGTAAAACTGCAACGGAAATTGCGTTACGCCCGAACTGTTCGTCATTCGCTCTCATACGGGTCGATCCCGCTCTGAGAAGCAGGATGTCAAGCAGTAGTAACTTCGGTTTTCACATGGAAATTATGGAAAGCTTTGATCAGTGACTTCATCCGGCATTGCTGCATCAATACAATATTTGCCCTATCACAGAAATTGTAAAAATCAAATTTATCACAAAGAGAAGAGGCAACCGT